CGCTGACCTATCAGGTGCCGACGAAGATCGACAAGCCAGGCGGTGAAGTCTATCGCGTGTAGCCCAGCATTATGGCGGAGGACAGCGTCCGCCATCGTGCAGGTGCAACGTCACAGCTCCACGACACCACCGCGACACAACGGCACAGCTGCACAGGGACTCAGCGGCGTGGCAACAGGAGTCTCCGGTGAGAAGGCATGGCAAGGCGCACAGGGCCCGGGGCGCACAACAGGCCGGCGAGCACGCGAGGGGCCTGCAGGTACGCGGGCGGCCGGTGAGGAGCACAAGGAGCCGACGGATACGCTAGGTGCCAGCGGGAACTAGGAGGGGCCGGCGGGTGCGCTGGGTCCGGCGGGTACGCTGGGGCCGGCGCGTAGGGTGAGGCCGGCGGGTACGCAGCGGCCGGCGGGTAGGCTGAGGCCGGCGGGTGCGCTGGGGCCAGCGAGTACGTTGGGGCCGGCGGGTACGCTGGGGCCAGCGAGTACGCGGGGGCCGGCGGGTGCGCTGGGGCCGACGGGTATGCTGGGGCCGGCGGGTACGCTGGGCCCGGCAGGTACACTGGGGCTGGCGGGTACACTGGGGCTGGTAGGCACGTTGGGGCTGGCAAGTACGCTGGGGCTGACGGGTACGCTAGGGCCGGCGGTTACGCGAGGGGCCGGCGGGTACGCTGGGGCCGGCAGGTATGTTGGGGCCGGCGGGTACGCATGGGGCCGGCGGGTACGCGCAAGGCCGGTGGGTACGCTAGGGGCCGGCGGGTACGCTAGAGCTGGCGGGTTCGCGCGGGGCCCGCGGGTACGCTAGGGGCCGGCGGGTACGCTAGAGCCGGCGGGTACGCGTGGGGCCGGCGGGGACGCTAGGGGCCGGCGGGTACGCGTGGGGCCGGCGGGGACGCTAGGGGCCAGCGGGGTGCACTAGGGCCGGCGGGCGCACTAGGGCCGGCGGGCGCACTAGGGCCGGCGGACGTGCTAGGGCCGGCGGGTACGCTAGGGACAGCGGGTACGCGAGGAGCTGGCGGGGTGCGCTAGGGGCCAGCGGGTACGCGCGGGGCAGGCGGGGTGCTAGAGGCAGTCAGGGCGCGGTAGGCTAGGGCGGGCGACGGAAGCGGGTGAGCGGACCTAACCTGCTCTGATACCATGTTAGAATAGCAGAATAATTGAAATGAGAAGTATAGAGTGGTTTTAACCTAGTGAGTTGTACTCTCTAAGGCATGCCCCTATCTAGGCTATAGAAACATATACAAATATGTTTGACACAACTCCCCTATGTGCCCCCAATGTGCCCCCCAAGTTTCCCCCCATATCCCCCCCATATTCCCCCCATGTGCCCCCTATGTGTCCGCAATGTGCACGAGCTTCTTTTCATACCTCAACATGTCTCATCTCTCCTCCCTCTCATCCAAACCCCTTCCTCTCCGCAACAGACTTCCCTCATCTCACAATTCTGATCATGTGGCTCTTTCTCCATGAGTGACGATCCTTGGGGTCTCACTTACAGTACGTGCTCCTGCCAGCTCCTTTCCCACTGCAACAAACGACCCCCAACTCTTCTCAGGACCCCTCTTCGCACTCCTCTCACCCCCCACCCCCATCCCACCCCTAGTTGGCTCCTCGCCCTCCACTCCAATGCCTCCCTTTTCGCCCAGGAGGCGTTCTCCCTCTCGGTCTTGCAGGGCGGATTGGGCGTGAGGAGGGTGAGGGAATACTGTGGGGTGATAAAGGGGCGGCTGGAGGGGGAGTATAGGAGAAGGGTGGGGGAGATTCAGCCACTGCCGGACAACGATGAGGTGGATGTGTCTATGATGAGGCTTTCTGGCAGCTGCTACATCAAAACGGAGACACTGTGCTCACTAAATGCTTCGTTTAAGTCTCCTTCAAAATCAAAACAACTTTCTTTACCATCTCAGCCAACCACGTCCTTCCCCCCCGCCCTTCCCCACTTCTCCCCAAGAATCCCCTTCCCCTCCCACACCCTCCATCCCCCTGCGCAACACCACCCTACCCCTCTTGCCCCTCCTGCCCTCCCTCCCACCTCATCCATCCTTTCCCATTCTTTGCTGCTCTAGGCTTATCACCTAGCCACTCTGATTCTGGCCAATTACTGTGCAGCAATGCAGCCGTACCTGCCGTCAGCTTTGGTGGAGGAAGTTCGGGCGCAGCTGCTGGCTTGGGTGGAGGAGGCTCAGCAGTGGCTGGTGGATTGGAACACAGAGCTCATGGCTGCGCTGTTCTTTGAACCTCTCAGGGACATGAGATTCAGCATGCAAAGAAAACCAATGCCTTGAAGCTCGATGCTAGGTTCATCTGACCAGCATGCAATGGGACAAAAAATACCCCGCCTGGGGAGAAAGGTGTGGTACAAAGTCTACGCTCATGCCCATACACTACCTCAGCCCCCTCCAAGTGCCACATCCAGACACAGGCCCACAATACATCCTCCCCCCTCCTGCCTACGATCCCCAGCTCACTGCCCTCTCTGATCCAGCTAGGCCACAGCAGCTCAACACCCATATGCGATTGCATCCATGACTTGAGAGTCATGCATGCACAGATGTTCTTGGCATCAAGGCAGTGACACTGCCTTGTGATAAGGTTCTTGCTCTGGCTGAAAACCCACTTGCTCAGAGCTGAGGTAGCAGGGAGGGCGAGATAGTCCCTCGCCATCGCTTGCAGAACAGGGAATTCGCGCTGCACATGCCAGTAGGCAAGTGGGGAGCCACTGTCTAGTTGTTGGTCGATGTATTTGTCCGCCTCATCCCTCACTTGGACCCCTCACTCTGCTGGACGCCAAAGCAGCTTGGCTTGCAAGGCATCGCGCAGCCCACCACGCACCACCCCTTCACCCTCCTCCTCCGCCCTGAGCCGAGCCGTCCCCAACCGTCGCCGCCTCCCCTTGGACCGCCACCTGCAGGCAGGCGCGATGTTCCAGCTTGCTCCTATAGATAGCAAACCTGGTGCGCACAAGTGTAAGGACCTCCTTCATGGTGAAGGACCCCATGCCCCCACCCCCCTGCGCCTCCTCCAGGTCCAGCTCCCCTAGCAACTCTGCCGCCTCCCTCTTCTCCTCTGTGTCCTCATCCTCCTCCTCCACCTCAGCCTCTTGCCTCCTTCCACCCCCATGATATCTGTTGCCTCCTCCCCCTTTGCTACTGCTGCCATCTCGACCTGGCATACTGCTGCGAGGAGCGGGGTGGCTCGTCAGGCTCGACGAACATGAGCTTCATGCCGGGGTTGAGGAAGTCGCCACCACCAGCTCAACACTATTGCTGCAGTGATACTACTTAAGTAGGAGTAGGGACTGCTCAGCGAGGGCACGCTGGAGGTTATGGTTTCTACGAAACACTGCCTCCAGGATGTCCATCAAGAAATTGAACTGTGAGAGCACCGCTGCGGAGGTGGGGTACACCGATCCATCCGTGGCCACACTAATGGAGTTGAACGGCTCAAGGTATTCCGCCAGCTCCTTCACTGTGGTCCTGTGGGCGTCGATCAGGCGCAGTGAGAAATAGTGTGCTCTCTCTATAGTGTTACCCTGAGCCAAAGGGACACAGAGCAATACAGAATGGTAAGTGGTTGGAACATATGAAGGCAGGTTAGCTCGCACGTGCACATTGAGGGTAAGAAATTTTACCTGCTCCACTGCGAGATGGGTCGTTAGGGGGCACTGCAGCTCAAGAGCCCTCACAATCATCTCGTACGTGCTTCCCTAGTGCACCTCGCTGTCCAGCACCAGCTTTAGCGGTTTCACCTCGGGGACGTTCTTACGCTGCTCGGCCCAGATTGTCAACGTGCGATCCGAACTGTAGCCCACGAACATGGCGATTTCACGCAGGCGTAAGATGGGCACCTTAACCACGTCCAACGGTAGATCCCGGTGCACGACGAGGTTACTGTAATGATGTGGGAGAGACACCTGCCTACGGGAAATAAAGAGGCCATGCCCCAGGGAGGGTCGGGAAAGTATGAAAGAGCAGTGAGATTGGTTGTCTTTGGGCATTGGCCAAAAAGCAGGACAGTCTGACAAAGTGCCGTATAGCTAAATCTCATAGGTTCAGTGCAGTTACAGCCTGTGTAACGATATAAGGGTAGGAGGATATTACAGAGCTCACCTAAAATGCATCCCCTCCTTGAGGAGGAACGTCGTGCTCGCCTCGGAGCCAACACCTGCAAGCATTCGATCGCTGTCACGTTGGCCTCGGCGTTGTCTATGGTAACGCCGAAGCAGCGTCCCCTCAGAACCCACTCGTCCACCACCTCCTCAAACACCCCAGCAATCACCTCAGCAGTGTGCCTTGCCCTCAGGTCGCAAAAATCGCCACCAATCCAGATGTCGGTGGTGAATGACACCAACCCGCAGCCCGACCCCTCCGCGGACTCTAGTCACACATGAGCAGGCACAAGTCTTGCGTACTCACGGATGTCACGCGACAGTGTCATGCGGCCAGGGACTGTGATCTCCCGGCCGCACTGGGGGTTGCAGACCCTAAAGAGCCTTCGAAACTATGGTGTACGAGATAGTTGGGGTGGAAGGGGAGACAGAGAGTGGAGATAGCCATTTAGGGAATTGGAGGGTCACGGTGTCGGGAACTGCACCAACACAGAACACACTGACGACGAACAGGGCGTATAGTGGAAGGAGGGGGAAGGGTGGGGGGGGGGGGGGGGTATGACGTGAAGCTCACCGTGGGGCGCTCAATCACGTGGAAGGACACATCGGCGTCCACCACGAGCTCGGCAATGGCCTGCCGCAGGCGTGTCGCTGAGCCGCGATCTTAAGAACTGCTCCATGGTAGGCTGTGCCGGATGAACCTCGTCGGCGTCTGACGTACTAAACCCACTTTAGGTCAGCCTGCATCGGCCGAATCAGCCCTTCACCCTCTTATTCACCCTTCGCTGTTGATGTAGACGATGCTGCCTCATCCCTCCCCCACCCCTCCCCACCTCTTCAGCAGCGCCCGCTACACCCTCCTCACCTCCCTCCCTGCCTCCCCCCTCTCCTACACCCGACCTAGAGGCCCCCTCAGTCACCCCCCTCCTCGCTCCTCTCGCCCGGCGAGTCCCCCCCGTGCCAGCTCTTGATTGCCCCTCCCCTCCCTCCCCGCCCTTTGATCCACTCCTAGCAGTTGCGCAGCAACGCCTTTGTGCTTTGGCTCTTCCGCCTCCTCATCCCTCACTCTCTCCCCTCCTGCATCCTCCTCCTCCACCTCCTCCTCCAAACTCTGAAAATCCCTATCCTCCTCCTCCTCCTCCTCCTCCTTCTCTTTTGCACCATCCCCTTCAACCCGATAAGACTCCTCACTGCCCTCCCCACTGCTAGAACTCGTGCTGTCATCCTCCCCGCACTGCGCCCCCCTCCTCTTCCCTCCCCTCCCCTCCCGGGACGCATGCGGTCCCTCATTTCCCCCACCACGCCCAAGGGGAGTTGGAAATCCAACTCGTGGTTCCCCAAATGCAGCGACGGTGATCCCCCCACAACCACCCCTCCCCCTCGACCGCTGCAACCCAAGGTTTCCGTCTCGCGGCCACATGCCGCCTGCGCCAACGCCTTCTTAACCATGGCCCGTCCCAGAAGCGTACCGTCTACACAGTTTGTGGGTGCGAATGACTTTTGACCCCCACGGCTTCAAGCCACGCTGAAGCCGAGCCGGGTGGAGCCAGGCTTCAACTCGGCTTCAGCGATACGAGCCGGGCAGGCTCTGCCTTAAAAAAAAAAAAAAAAAAAAAAAAAAGGCTCGGCTCGGCCTGAAGCCGAGACGAGCCGGCTCGGAGTTAAGCCCATATTTAAATGTAAGGTGTCTCTTCCTGTCTCCACGACGCCCTCGTCCCTCCCCCATCAGCTGTGTGATAAGACCTACCACACTTATCATACCACAATATTTTTATCTCTGAGACCGGTGGTCACTCAAGTGCCTCTGACCTTCATTCCCACCTGCCTCCTCCTCCCTTGTTCTTTGTCTCCCATCTTTTACCCTGATCGTGCCCCACCCCCCGTCCACCTCTCTTCTGCTGTCCGCTCACCTTATTACCCTTCAAGACCTGCTGGTCCCTCAAGTGCTCTTTCCCTCATTGTATGTCCTTTTCCCTTCTCCACCTTCCCATTCCCTCCCCATCCCCCTCCCATCCTCCCCTCCTCCCCCACCCCCACTTTCCAGGAGTGTTACAAGCCCAACCACATCATCTTCTTCTCCAAGATCTCATGGCCCCACACGTGCCTCAAGCCCAGCCCAGGCATCTTTTCGGTTTCCAAGCCTCTGCCTTTTCTATGGCTCTCAAACGCCTAACCAAGGCCCAACTCTGGTTCAGATCCGTCATTGCTTCTGCTGCTGCTTCTTCTGCTGCCTCCTCTTCCCCTCCCCCTAATTCTCCAGCCTCCGCTGCTGCCATCAGTGCCACTGCTAGTGGTCACCCCCCATCCCATGGGGGAGGCAGGTCTGGTGGAGGTCGAGCTGAGTGAGGGGACCAGGCACCGGGTGATGTCTGCGTGGCTGCAGAGGGACTTGGCCATGCACGGTGGTGTAGTGAGCGGGGGGAACGCAGCAAGGAGAGTGGTAGAAGCAGCAGATTCAGATGCGGCTGGATTTGCACAAGGAACAGCACCACGTGCGTCAAGTGCTATAACCAGGACGTTACGATGGCTGGGCTTTGGCAGCTGGGGGTGGTTTACAGCTTGGGGATACATCGGTCTATTGCAAGGGCAGCAGGGATGGTGTGCGAGGGATGGTTAATGAGGGCATGCATGGGCAAGGGCAAGGGCATGGGGAATAGCATGCCACATTGCTCCGCAGGCTTGCTGTTAATGGCATGCCACCAAATGGCAGCATGGCGAAGGGCATGGCGTTAATTGGCATGATGATAGGTGGCACGAGAAGCAATGTCTGGCATGAGATGGAGGAGGAAGAGATAGGGCGTGGGCATGGCAGAGTGGCTTCCCAGTAGGGTGCCACTATGCAGAGGAATAGCTCTGGCAGTGAATCAATACTCTACATACTTTGGTTGCCTGCCGATGGTTTTGGTGCATGCGATGGTGATGCGGGTGCTAATGCTGGTTGTGATGGTGATGGTGATGTTGATGTTGATGGTGATCGTCATGGTGATGATGCTGGTTGTGATGGTGATGGTTATGGTGATGGTGATGGGGGATTGATACTGGTCAAATGGAGCCGGCAGCAAGAGCGGTGGCAGCAGCACTAGCAGCAGGATGACCAACAGCATCATCACCTCGCATGGATTTTCGCAACCATGTGGCCTCTGCCAGTGACTCGACAGGGGAGCAAGCCAGAGGTGATTCAGCAAATAAGATCAATGGCACCAGCAGCACACCAAGCACACCGACCAAACAGACCGAGCAGCAATCCAAGCAAGAATGTGAGCAACTCGAGCATGTGCACCGCAGTAGCAGTAGCTGAACACCTGTCATCTTAACCTTCTTCCTGGTGCCCACGGTAGTACCATTTCCCCTCACACCGGGGAAAGGCCAGTGGTGCTTACTATCGGGCTTCGGACAGGCAGTGGAGGAGGTTCAAGTCCGTTGCAAGGCCTTAGACAGATTTCGAACTGTGAGGTTTGTTGCAGTTTATTGCCATTTCTTTCCCAAGTTGTTGTGAAACAAGGAGTGAGGTTCTAAAAAAACCCCTTCTTTTCAAACATGATGTAAAATGCACGGAAATACTAGCCAGATCCTCTTCAAGTCCATTCTTGTGTGCTGAACTTGCAGAGGAAAAGGTGAGGGGCTAGCTCCATTCCCGCCATCTCCCCTCCTAGTCCCACCCAAGTGCCTCACCGCCGCCAGCCAGTAACGTACATAGCTTTCGTTTGGTTCCGGTTAATGCGTGCAAATTATTTGTCGAAAGAATAAAGACATAAGCCATTCATTCTTCCTACCGCAGAAGAAGGCTTTAGTTTAAGTAAGTTTAACGACAATCCTGTCAAAAGGGTGAGATCACTCAGAGGTTCTATGCCTCACGCACTAAAGGCGATAATACACCTTGGGTTGGGCAAGTCCATGATTGCATGAGTAGTGAGCACATCCTTAGTACAGCCACTAGAAACGAGTGCGGAGAGAACTTGGCAACTACCGTGATGCAGTGATAGCGGGACACAAGGTGGGGAATTGAGATACAACCATTGATATAGGTCACACAAGGGCACTGAAGGGATGCATCGCAATTGTAGAACAGTTGCGTTGCGTGACGCTTGGTTCGCCCAGTTACATTCACGTTTTACAACTGTTCAGCTTCAAGGTTGCAACCGTTGGTTGCGACTTCGGGAAGACCAATCGGCGCAAACTTGCGTCATGCGAGGTTGCAGCTCCACCGACTCAGCAATTGGCCGATTGCTCGAATGCCAACATTCCGATGCTGAAGGGTCGCATCGCACCTAGAGCGACTACGACCTCTTGAATAACAAAAAAACTTGCTAAGGTTTGCCACTACACTACACTTCGAATAAATGCAACATATAACGAAAAATGCAGTAATTGTTATTCCAACACCTAAGAAGGCATGCTAGCATGGGTGTCAACCATTTGGGGTAGTAAAATATCAAAAGGGGAAACACATATAATTAAATATATCCGTCACATGTACTGCATGAATCGTTGAATAGGTCATAGGGAATATCATAGAATGATACTTCAAGGTGGACGACAACACTTTTATGGGTGGTGGCTCCTATGTATATAAGGGAATTGTATTTTCTTATTACGGGTTTTAGTCAATAAGGCGTACACTATTATAACAGGGTTGCCACGAAGCTCTGCCACGAAATTCAAATCGCGGTCCCAAAATGTGGCCTCCTGACGAGCAGCCGTATGCATTGTTGCCCGCCTTGCTGTTGCATGCCTATATCTGGGCGCTTCGCGCCAATTTACGAACCACACGTCGCAGCTCTGCCAAGCCCCGACTGTGTGATCTAGGCTAGCTGTATCCGTCCTCCCTGCTGTTTTGATGTTGCCTCAGTTGTATTGTTTTCCTCGTTAATCAATCCTTTGGCACACGCTCTTTACGCTCCATAACAGTACATTTAAGCGAGAGGCTATAATAATGACCCCCACTTCGAGTGTATTGGTTGGAACCTTGCGAGAAGTTTTTTTTTTTTCCCCGACAGTTCTTACACGGCCTATCCTTGGCGAAAAGATTACAAACTGACATTTTGCCTGATTGTCGCTTAACACAAGCCACTTGCTACGCTGCGACGAAACTAGCTGCGGATCTAAAATTTGGAAGCCAAGGCACACCCTTCCTCATCACATGTCACTTCCAAGCCCTGCAAAGTGAATTTCACCAAAGATAGAGTGCAAAATATCAAAGAAAGAGAGAGGGAGCGAGCAAATGCAAAAATCGAGGGCATGTGATCATACATGAGTGGGGAGAGATACGCGCGAGAGATGTGGAGAGAGGGAGATATGGCGGGAGCGACGGGCGAGCGAGTGTGGTGCGGCGCGAAGGGAGTGGCATGGCGAGAGGTGAGTGACGGGCGAGCGAGTGTGGCGCGGCGGGAAGGGAGTGGCATGGCGAGACACTCGCTCCTCCTCTCTCTCTCTCTCTCTCTCTCTCTCTCTCTCTCTCTCTCTCTCTCTCTCTCTTTCTCTCTCTCTCTCTCTCTCTCTCTCTCTCCTCTCTCTCTCTCTCTCTCTCTCTCTCTCTCTCTCTCTCTCTCTCTCTCTCTCTCCCGCTGCGCTACTCTCTCCCAATTCTCACCTCCACCAATCTCTTTCTAACCGCGCCACTCTCCTCCACGACGCATCTCTCTCTCACTCTCTCGCCGCGCCTCTCCCGCTAACGACGCCTCTCTCTCTCTCTCTCTCTCTCTCTCTCTCTCTCTCTCTCTCTCTCTCTCTCTCTCTCTCTCTATCTCTCTCTCTCTCTCTCTCTCTCTCTCTCTCTCTCTCTCTCTCTCTCTCTCTCTCTCTCTCTCTCTCTCTCTCTCTCTCTCTCGCTCTCTCGCCGTGTCTCTCTCCCTGCCTCACTGCGTTTCTCCCTCTCTCCCCGCGTCTTTCTCTATCGCCGTGCCTTACCCTTTCTCGTCGCGTCTCTCCCCCGCTATCTGTGTTTCTCTCTCTCTCCCTCTCTCTCTCTCTCTCTCTCTCTCTCTCTCTCTCTCTCTCTCTCTCTCTCTCTCTTTCTCTCTCTCTCTCTCTCTCTCTCTCTCACTCTCTCTCTCTCTCTCTCTCTCTCTCTCTCTCTCTCTCTCTCTCTCTATCTCTCTCTCTCTCTCTCTCTCTCTCTCTCTCTCTCTCTCTCTCTCTCTCTCTCTCTCTCTCGCTCTCTCTCTCTCTCTCTCCCCCACAGCGCCACACTCTCCCTCACAGCTTCTCGACACTAAGTTTCTATGCGGTAGGGCAGCTAGCGGAACTAGCTTGCTTTCTCGGCGATTGTTTGCTAGCTGGATGTCGCTTTGCGTGGGGAAGGTAGTGAATTCTCGGCAATTGTGAACTCAGGTCCAACTTGAAAAAAGAGTTGGGCCCATCTCGATCTGAGAGCCCCAACCCGTTGCTTGCACTCGCCGTGCAAGTGTCGCATCGACAAGTGCGACCCCTGACAAGGATTCGTTGTCAAATTTGCATGGAGTGGCATGTCCGCGCATTTCGCTCTGCGATGAACATTTTGGTGGGACCCAATCAGCTTTGAGCTGAAATTCCGATGTGCCTACCTGTGCCATTTTGGAACATTTATTTGTTGAAGCTTGTTTCCAATTCGAGTTGCTCAGAGGGAGCCCTCGTTCAAGTTGGGCCAACTTTCAGTATTTTATCTTCTCGTTTTATGAATGATATACATCATGATTTTTCATTGTACCTTACCCGTTGATATTGTTGCCGCGTCTACGAGGAACTTTGTCTGGACTCTCCAAGTGTATTTGCCCTCTTTGCTCACCAGCAGGGCTCTCGGTTCAAGGGTAAACATCCGGAATGTCGGGTACATTCCGGATGTTTTGGGCT